TACCCAGGAGCAAGGGTGTCTTTTCATTTTCTGATATCCTTTTTTCAGTGTTGTACTTTTCAGATTAGAGGTCTTTATTTCTTTTGCTAGGTTGATTACTAGGTATTTCAATTTTTGGATGCTATTGTGAAAGGAAGTGATTGCCCCATTTCATGCTCAGTGAATCTTGTTTTGTGAACAGAAAAGCTATTGATTTTGACATGTTAAACTTATATTCAGCTACCTTACTGCATTTGGTTATCAAGTGTAGAAGAATTTTGTTGGAGAGCGGGGCATGGTGGTGCATTCCTGTAATCCCAGCACTCAGAAGGCTAAGGCAGGAGGATCACTGTGAGTTGCAGACCAGCCTGGGATACATAGTGAGTTCCAGGTCAGTCTCAGCTACACAGTGAGATCCTATCTCAAAAAGAAAAATAATTTTGTTGGAGTTCTTATGCTCTTCTGTGTAGAGCAACCTGTCAGTTGTAAATAATGACAGTTTGTCTTCTTTATTTCCTATCTTTGTTCCTTTTATTTCTTTCTCTTGCCTAATTGCTTTGGCAATGTTTCCAAAACTGTCTTGAACAAGAGTGGTGACAGTGCACATTCTTGTCTTGTTCCTGATTTTATCGTGAAGGATTTCAGTTTTTGACCATTTCGTATGACTTTCTCTATAGGTTTGTCATAGATGGCTTTTATTAGATTGAGTTAGAGACTGTCTATTCTGATACTCTGTAGGGATTTTTATCATTAACGTGTGTTGCACTATGTTGACTGTTTCTTCTGCATCTATTGAGATGATCATATGGTTTTATCCTTGGCTCTATTAATATACTGCATTACATTTATTGATGTGCCTATGTTGAACCCTCCTAGCATCCCTGGGATAAATCCACCTGGTCAGGGCATGTGATCTTCTTGATGATCTTCTACATTGTATTTGCCAGTGTCTTATTAATGATTTTTACATTTATGTTCATTAGTAGGATTGGCCTATAGTTTTCTTTTACAGTTGTGTCTTTCTCTGCTTTGGGAACCAAGTTGATTCTTGCTTTCAGAAATGAATGTGAGGGTATCACTTCCCTTTCAATTTCATTGAAGAGTTTAAACAGTAGTAGCTGTAGTGCCTCTCTAAATGTCTTCTAGAATTCAGTATTGAAACCATCACTGCTCAGGTTTTTCTTAGTTGGTAAGTTTTTAATAGCAGTTTCAATTTTATTGATTGATATTGGTTTCCTTAGAATTTTTAAAGTCATCTTCATTCAACTATGGCAGTTCATATGTATCTAGGAATCTGTCCATTTCTTCTATATTATCCATCTTGTTGGTGTAAAAGTTATCAAAGTAGATATGAATGATCACCTGAACTTCTGCTGGATCCATTTTAATTTCACCCTTTTCATTCTTAATTGAATGGACTTGGGTGTTTTCTTTCCTTTTTTATATGAATGGCTAAGGGTTTGTCAAGTTTGTGTATTCTTTTGAAGAACCAAATGTTGGCTTCATTGATTTTTTTGCATTATTCTTTTAGTCTCCATTGAATTAATTTATATGCTGATCTTCTAAGTAATGTGTTATTCTTTAAAAATCTACTCCACTAAAATTTTGTGATACAGTTCCATGGGACTTTTAGAGATTTCATAAACTATTTGTGGTCTACAATGTTATGAAGGAGAAAATAAATTTATTTTATTTTTTCTCATTTTTAAGTATTTTTAAAATTTATCTTAAAACATATCAGATGAAACCATGTGCTTCTACTGTACAAGGTGATGTTTGACAGAAGTATTCAGAAATGGTTAATGTAGAAAATGAACATTTGTATTACCTTGTACAGTTGTCTTTCTTCAAATCACATTTAATAAGCACTCAGAATAGTTCTAAAATACAATATATGTAGTTTACAATAACTATAGTTTCTGGGCTGTACAATTCATTCCTTGAACTCGTTCCTCATATCTAATTTGAAATTTATATTGTATGTCAGTTACTTTTCCAAACACTGCCCCAGCCTTTGACAATCATTATTCAGGTATTAATGAGAAAATTGGCTCTCCAGCTGCCTGCTCGAGCCCACCCGGCGGGTGCACAACCTCCCCGACTGCAAGCCACCAGATCCAGTAAGCACCCAAGGACCTGGAGGAGGTCTCTCCAGCTGCCTGCTAGGGCCCACCCAGCGGATGTTATAAAATTCACACGAGTGAGATCATGTTGTATTACTTTTCTGCACCTGGCTTACTTTATTTATATGTATCATTCTAGTCCATCCATGTTGATGTGTTTTACAGTGCTTATGTACAGTAGGGTGAGTTCAGATAACATTTATCTCCTGTATATATTAGAACGATGCAATGAAGGAGTTCAAACTTTTTATCCTAAAAGAATGGTAAATGTTCAAGGAAAAATATGTTTAAAATTTCCAAACATTACACAATATATACTTGTGTGAAAACATAATATGGTCCAGCCTAGCAAGTACTTCCCATTGACTACTTGTCCTAGCCTTTTTCCTACTGTCAGACAGAGCCCATCTGGTGGCATATTCAGAGGAGAGAGCCTCCTCAGATTAGGGCAGTAAGGAAAGTGCATGTCAGAAGTTGAATGGGTGAGCCCTAGACTAATCACCAAAGAGCAAGACCACCATTCTTTCTACAATCTACAACCAGACACTCAGGATTTGGGGCATGATAAGTATAGCTTGTGACTGTTGTGATCTGAGGAGAGGAAAGATACTGGAATTGAGGCAAGGTGAGCATTTTTCTACTGCCCACCAAAATACAGCCAGAGTTAGAACATGTATAACCATCCCCTCTGCGCAGTCACAAAACATCACAGTGCTTTGAGGCTATGCTGTTTCCCTCACATGGCTGATCAAAACCTGATGAGTTTGGAGTCTATGTGGGCACCACCCATTGGCCCACAAATGCTAATTATTGTATTTTCATTAAACAGTATGAACACAGAGAGGAGAAGAGAGTCACAGACATCTAACATTCTGTAGCACTTTAATTATTCAAGATATAAGAAGGATTATTTCCTGACTCTTTTACCAGAGTTAAATGAAACTAATATCCTCAATGTTAGATGAAAGTTATATATATATATATATATATATTAATAGGTTACAGTTCATATTGACTGACTTTTTAAATGAGATAAGTTAATTGCAAAATTAAGTATATATCAATTGCAAGAAGTCAAAGAACTATATTCTACTCATATTTTCATGGAGATATTAACTCATGTATGTTCTGGAGAGGATCAGAAAAATGTTAAAATGCTTGTTCTCATATAAGCTTACAGAATAAATCATAGATCTCTCTGAGGTAATGCAATTTATCAAAATCATTTAAATCATTTATTAAATCATTTAAGGTAGTTGTATTTACATCACAAAGAAAAATAAATGTACCTGTGTTCATAAAGTAGGACATTTCATGGACATTAAATGCTACACACTACTTAGATGCACTTTAGGTACTCTTCAGGTAAGGCTTTAGAAAAGGCTTTATTGATACAGTAATTAACAGAGATGTGGAAACAATGACAGGAATATCTACTCACAAATTCTTAACAATAGTTGCCCATGGAAAGAAGGTAAGTGGAAGAATAGAATCATGCTGAGATATCAAGGAGCAAAGACTCAGAGTATAATTCAATTCAATGTCAACTGTCTTTTTTGTGTGTGTGTTTGGTTTGGTTTGGTTTGGTTTGGATTTTTGAGACAGTGTCTCACTATGTAGTTGAGACTGACCTGGAACTCACTATGTAGTCCAGGCTGGTCTCGAACTCGAAGCGATCCTCCTGTCTCAGCCACCCGAGTGCTGGGATTACAGGCATAAGCCAACATGCCCAGCCCTCAATGTCAACTATTAAATCTGAGTTAAATATCATAAATTTTACATTATAATATAGTGTGCTTAATATTAATAAAATGTATTAAAATTTTAAATAACCTTGATCTAAATGACTGAAAATCTAAGCCTGCAGTTGTTTTCAACCCTATTGTAAGAAAGAATCACCAAAAAACTTCAAATGCAAATATTTTAATCAAACTGATTTTGGTTTCAGATGAGGATATCTAGACATTTTAATATTTCACTAAGCACATATTGATAAATGGATAGAAAACTTATATGCTATGCAGTAAAATGATTTTTTATTGGTTTCATGAAATAGATGTCTAAAGTAGATAATTATTGTCAACATATTACAGCTGAAGAAACTACCAGATGTGTTATATTATTTTCTGAGCTTTCCTGGTTTGCGTCATTTCCACTTGTTTGATTACGTATTGAAAGTTTTATAAATATGAACAGTCAACATTTAGCATTCAAATAATAGAGGTCAAGCTCCTTTAGAGATCTTATTAATACTCTGAATAGCAGAATACTGGGCCCTGCTTTTGGTACAAATGATGTAAACTAGGATACTTCTTAATTCATTTCAGCATGATTTTTCCTAAAGAAGGAAAGCTATTACTTATTCTCAATTCTTTTTTTTTTTTTTTTTTTTTTTTTTTTTTTTTTTTTTTTTTTTTTGTACCAGGGATCCAACTCTGGTCCTTGCACTTGCAAAGTAGGTGGAAAAACTCAGCTAAATCCCCAGTCCCTTATTCTCAATTTTTATTGAAAGAAGAGCCTGTATTTTATTGCAATCATGAACTTCTTGTCTCCAATATTCTTGGTTTTGTAACTTGCACTGTGGACTGTGTAGAAAGCAGATGAATAAAAAGACTCAAATAATCCAAGATTTATTTTTTAAAAGTTAAGTTTAGTATAATTCAGACATATTAACAAATTTGTATGGAATACAAGAGTAAATTGTTGTTACTATAGGAGAACAAAATGTATGGAGTGCTGAGTACATATTTATTTGTGGACTTTTTCTGCATTTTTCTATTTCACAAGGTGTCCAGACAACATAAATGCACAGAATCTAACAGATGTGAAATAATTCCATTTCATGAAACTCTCAGATTTTCCAGACTTGCAGCCCATCCCTTTTGGCACTTTCTGTCCATGTACCTGGTCACACTGATCAGAAAACTGCTCATCATGCTGGCTGTCATCTCTGACTACAAATTCCACACCCCCATGTACTTCTTCCTCTCCAATCTGTCCTTTGTGAGTATATATTTCACCTCCACCACAGTCCCAAAGATGATTGTGGCCATCCTGACACAGTGCAGAGTCATCTCTTATGTGGGCTGCCTGACACAGATGTCTCTGCTTATTATTTCTGGATGTATGGATGACATGCTTCTGACTGTGATGGCCTATGATTGGTTTGTGGCCATCTGTCACCTCCTGCATTACCCAGTTATTATTAGCCCTCAACTCTGTATCTTCCTAGGTTTTTTTTTCATGTATTTTGCTAGAGCTTTTGGATTTACAGCTGCACACTTTGATTGTCTTGAAGTTCACATTTTCAATGATGTTTTAATTTCCCACTTCTGCTGTGAACCTGCTCAACTCCTTAATATAGATTGTAGTGAAAACGTGTTTTTTTCTATCTTGATAATCCTATTATTATAAAATAATTTCCTCTATCCTGAGAGTTGCATCATAAGGAGGGAAATATAAAGCCTTCTCCACCTGTGGGTGTAACCTGTCTGTTGTCTGCTTATTTTACGGCACAAGCATTGGGATGTACCTTATACATCCATATATATATATATATATATGGTTCTCATTTTCCCCATTATCCCTGCCCTCCCTTCAACCCCTCCTCCCTTATCTGTTTACAAATACTCTATTTCCATTTTTTCATTTTCTCATATTTTTTTCTTTTCTCTTATTTCCTTTCTCCTACCCTTCCCACTTCCCCCACACCTTTAGCCTCTTTCTTGCTATTTCACCTTGTCAATTATATCATAAGGATCATATTACAATTACAGTTTTTCACATCAGAGAAACTATTCTGTGTTTACACATGTGTGACTTATTTAATTCACTTAAGAGTACATCCTCAATAGCCATCCATTTTCCTATGAATGATTCTAATTTCTTATTCTTTATGGCTGAGTAGTATTCTATTTTATAGAAAAACCACATCTTTATACAGTCTCCAACTGTTGGGCAAATGGGCTGTTTCCAAGTTTTAGCTATTAGAAACTGTGCCTCTATGAACATGGGTGTCCACATGTCACTGTGATATGATTCTTTTAATTCTTTTGGAAAGATATCCAGCAGAGGGATGGCTGGGTCAAATGGAACTTCTAATCCTAGTTCTTTGGTGTATCTCCATATTGATTTCCACAATGGTTACACCAGTCTGTGCTCCCACGAACAATGGAGAAGGTTTCTGAAGGACACATTTTAATTGAACTTATAGTCTCAAATTTCTCATGCATTTTCCATCAAATAATATGATTTCATATTTTTATGGCTTAATAACTTCTTCTTTATCTATTCATGTGTTGATGGGCATCTAAACTGTTTCCACAGTTTAGCTATTGTTAAGTATGATGTTTACATATGGATTTACATCATGACAACACTATGACATTTGTAACTCATTTTATTTTATTTATCATTAATAATTTCTTCGAGACTGAATAGAATGTATTGCTCAACATGGGTAGTTTACACATTTTACCAATATTTATTATTCTAATCCTTTCAGACGCCCTTTTCTGAATCATGTCTTTGCATTTTGGGTGTCTGATTTTTTTGAATTCTTTATATATTTTAGAGAGTAGTCCTTTCTCTGAGGAGCAGCCGGTAAGTATTTTTTCCATATTGTAGTTTGTCTTTTAACTCTTTTTGTGACTTATCTTGCACTGAAAAATCTTTTGAATGCAACTGAGATCCAAGATGATTATTCTTTGTGCAAGTTCTCATGCTGCTGAGTATTTGTTCATAAAGTTTTCTCCTACGCCAAGGTCTTTGAGAGTTCTACCTAATTTACTTTCCTGTAAGTTTAGTGTTTTTGTTTTGATATTTAGGTCTGCAATCAACTTGGGTTTTATTTTAGTGCTTGGTGAATCTTAGGGATCTAGTTTTAATGTTTGGCAAGTTGAAAGCCAGTTTTTCCAATACCCTTTGTTAAAGCAGCTATCTTTCCTCCAGTGAGGAAGGTTGGCACCTTTGTCAAGAATAAGGTAGCTGAGAATGCCTGGTGCTGTTTCTGCATGTTCTAATCTATTCCAATGATCCTTGGATCTTTTTCTTTGCCAGTACCATGCTGTTTTTATCACAGTGGTTTTGTAGTATAGTTTCAAACTGGGAATTGTGATACTCCCTGATATGTCTCTGTTGTTTGCTTGGATCCTTCCCTGGTTTTGGAATCAAAATACTACTTGCTTCCAGCAATGAATTTGGAAATACTTTTTTCCTTTCAATTTCATTGAAGAGTTTAAAGTGCAGTAGTGATAGTTCTTCCCTAAATGTATTGTAGTATTCAGCAGTGAAGCCATCAGGACCTGGGCCTTTCATTGCTGGTAATGTTTTAATTACCTTTTCAATTTTGCTGAACATAACTGCAATGTTTAGACTTTTTATATCTTCTGCATTCAACTTATATGTGTTTAGAAATCTGTCAATTTCTTTTGTATTTTCCACTTTATTAGTTTAGGCTTTTGAAGTTGGTGTGGATGATTCTCTGGATTTCTGATGGATCTGTTTTGACTTCTCCGTTTTAATTCCTAAATGCATGAATTTGAGACTTTTCTTTCATTTTTTATTTGTTTATTGTTTTGTTTTGTTTTGTTTGAGACAGGGTCTCACTATGTAGTTCAGACTGCTCTGGAACTCACTGTGTAGCTCAGGCTGGTCTCGAACTTGCAATGATCCTCCTGCCCCAGCCTCCCAAGTGCTGTGATTACAGGTATGCAACTCTATGCTAGGGTTTTCTTTTTTTTTAAATAAGGTCGTCTGGGCATTTATCAATTTTAATTATTCTTTTGAAAAACCAAGTGTTTGATTCATTGATCTTTTGTATTGTTTTCTTACTTTGCATTGCATTAATTTTTGGTCTGATCTTTATAATTTCCTCCCTTATATGAACTTTGGGTTTGTCTTGCTCCTCTTTTTCTAGGACTTAAGGTTAAGCATTAGGTTGTTTATTTGAGCTCACTCTGTTTTCCTTGTATGGGCATTTACTGCTATGCATTTCCCTCAGAGGACTGCTTTCATTTTGTCCCATAAATTCTTATATATTGTATTGGCATTATCACTTTTTTTGTAGAAACTGTCTAATTTCTTCTTTACTTTGCTCTGTGACCCAATGGTTGTTCAGCAGAGTGCTAATTAATTTCCATGTTTTTGTGAAGTTCTTGCAGTTTCTTAAGCTATTGATATGCATTTTAATTGCTTTATAATCTGATAATATACATGGGATAACTTTAATTTCTTTGCATTTAGTTAAGCTTGTTCTATGAACTAGCATGTGATCTATTTTGGAGAATGACACATGCACAGCCAAAAATAATGTATATTCTGATTTTCTATAATGGAACACTCTGTAGGCATCTACCAAGTTCATTTGTTCTATGACTTGGTTTAGTTTTAATATTTTGTTTTTGATTTTTTTGTCTAGATGATCTATTTGTGTCAGTGTCACTACAAGTTGTGCCTACTATTTGTGTCACTACAATTGTATTATTTCTTATTTCATTTTTCACATCCATTAATATTTGTTTTGTATAGTTGGGGACATTAGAATTTGGTGCATATATATTTATGATTGTCATTTTTCCTCTTGTATAGTTCTCTTTATATGGATTTAGCAACCTTCTTTGTCTCTTTTAATTAGTTTTGGTTTAAAATCTATTCTGTCTGCAAATTAGGTTATTACCACCACTTTTTTTCTGGGGTCCTGACACATGAAGAACTGTTTTCCATCCTTTAATTCTCACTCTATGAATTTCTTTGTGGGGTGGGTGAGTTTCTTTTATATAGCATATTGTTGGATTTTCTTTTTAATCCATTCTGCCAGCCTGGTTGTTTTTTTTTTTCTCTCTTTCTCTCTAATTGGTGAATTGAAGCCATTAATATTGATGGTTACAATTGTTATGAATTGGCTTTTCATTGTCATGTTATTTCCTGTTGTTGGTTTGTTTATTTATTTATTTTTGCCTCTCTCCCTTTAATTTCTTGCCTTGCCTGGTATATTTGCTCTGTTGGCACTTATGGAGATGTGGTTTTTATTGCCTTTTCCAGGTTATTGTTTAGAAGTGTTTGAGTGCTGGTTTGATTTTCATGAAATTTCTCAGGTGTTCTTTGCAATGAAAATATCTTATCTCCCCACCAATTTTGAAAGATAGTTTTGCAGGATACATCAGCCTAATTTGGAGGTTATTTTTTTTAGGGTTTGAAATACATCACTCCAGGGTCTCCTTGTTCTGAAGGATTGTGTTGAAAAGTCTTCTGTGATTTTGATGGGCTGCCTTCTGCATGTGATTTGTTTATTTTCTCTAACTGCTTGTAGTATTTTGTTCTTCTGTTGTGTTTCTGGGATCTAGATCATTATATGTCTAGGTGTAGATTTTGTTTTTAATCTTTGCCAGTTGGAGTCCTGTATGCCTCACTTATCTGTATATCAAATCTTCCCCTTTGTTCAGGAAGTTTTCTGTCATTAATTGTGTGAAAAATTTCTTTCTGTCATTTGCACTTTCTCCTGTTGCTTCTTGGATTCCTGTCAGTCTTATATTATTCTTCGTTGCATCATCTAGGAGTTGCTGCATGATTTCTCATGGTCTGTTATTGTTTTTAAGAGATCTCTCTTTTCATGGTCACTGACCAATATTACGCTTTTTATATCTGAAATTCTATCTTCATATTCATTCATCCTGCTGTGAATTCTTTCCATACTGTTTAATCTCTTGGATATCTGAATCTGTTTCATGGATTCCATTTCTTTCCTATGTTGGGCACTCAAGATTTCCATTTCTTTCCTATGCTGGGCATTCATTGGTTCCATCATGGTCCTGAGCTCATCTGTTTTTTTTTATCTGTTTCTGTTCTAGACACTCTAATCATGTCTTTCATTTTTTCTTATGTGTGTTGTTATTTCTGTGTTGTTATCTAGAAAATTATTTCTGTTTTGATTTTTCTAGAACTTCATTTACCTGTTCTTTTTAACTTCCTGTGATATCAGTTCATTGCATCCAGATGGTTGATTGTCAGACTTTTGCACCTCATTTCCCCCAGGGTTTACCATTGGTGGGTGGGAGTCTGTTTTTTTCTTCTTTAAATGCCTTCTCATTTCTATTTTTTTATACTGTGCTTGGATTAATTCCTGTGTTCATATTTCCATCTTCCAAATAAAACAGGACTTTAGGTTTTAAGGCTCTAATGTCTCTCAGGCAAACTCATTTTTATTATACAAGAGAAGACAACTTATTAGATCAATCAAAACACCTTGACCCAAGTGATATAATCAGTAACACAATAGCACCAAGAACAGCTTAGAAAATGACACTTTATGGTAGTTATTAATATATCACCTTTAACTGTGTAATTTAAATCAAAATTGAGGACCAGCCCCAAATATTTATAGTGCCTAATCTGTTCAACATAGCAACTCTACCCTC